AAAATGTTAAGACTTAAGAGACTGATGAATCGGAAGAGTTGACCTAATCGTCACACTAGTGGGGGAAGGAGAGGCAGAGCTGTCCAGAGGCCGGGGATGACAAAGACAGGGGAGCAAAGGGGGTGGGGGAAGAGACAAAACTTAAGAGCTAACAAAGAACTTCGTTACACAGAAGGGGAAGTGATTTATGTTCAAAATCTGAGCATGCTTGACAGTCAAAATGTTTTATCACAGTTTCAGAAATTGAACTACTTAAAAAAACACACACAAAATAATAAAACAAGAACCCAAACCCAGAGTCCTTCCCTTGTTACAGTGTATTCATTTTTTAAAAATCCATTTCCAGTAAATTAAGTAGAATCCTGATAAGTGCATAGTAGGGGATTCAGTGACCTGCACCCGTTTGAGAAGCTTTTCTTACTGTGTGTCACTTGAGGTAATTTGAAGGGCCCAATTAACTGCAAACTGGCTTATCTGTACCTTTATGAAGTTATATGTTGTATTTTATGTGGCTTAGCAGAGGGCCTCTAAATTTTATATTTTATTCACAATAAAAAGGACATCTTAGAAAACTAGTCATTCACGTACCACTCTCTGTATGGGGTAAAGGTTAATTCACAACAAATTTATACAGAAAATATACAAATGCAATGTTATGGGAAAAAACCCCATAAACAGAATTAGGAACTTATTTCTAAGAGTGCATGTGAAAAATATCCACAGACTTACAGTACAGCAAGAGAAAACTAAAAAGCTAGAAATATAATGTTACATAAAACCTTATGGAAATCCCAAAATTTTAGGTTTCTGCAATAAATGTAAAAATATTCAAGGTGTCATTATTTGGCCTAGTAATATACTATGATAAAAAGAAACACTAGCATATCACAGCTTCTTGGTCATATGACATTTGCTTTGTATAACAAGCAGCTTGTTTTTTTTGTTTTTGTTTTTGTTTTTTAAAAGCTGTCATATCCTAACACATCTATTGCAAGTAATACACAATCATGGTAGGAAACCATTTGAGATTATGCTTTGGAGAATAGCAATGTGATATGACTGTTCAGTTTTGTTTTGTTCAAGGAGAATTAATTACCTGCTTCTTTACATTATTCCATAAAACATTAACAGATTAGGAGACAGTGGTTCTCAGACTAGTACAACACTAGTCTGTAAATTCCAAAACAATACTGTATTTTATTGACCAAAAATTCCACTAATAAAGCCTTGTGTGATACTAGAACTTATTCTTCCTTAAAAACAAAACAAAAACACATACCATAATGCAATTCACAGCTGAAATTTCCCTCTATGCCATATTTTACCTACGTGATCTTGTAATGGTATTCAGAAATACTATCAAACTAGTAAGATTAAAAACTGGTTTCAAAGTTTCCTTTTACTTTAAACAGATGAGCTGAAATTCTCTGTATTGGAAATTCCTCTAACAATTTTGCCCTAAGAACACGAAGATGTATTATATAGTACTCAAATTTAAGTGGTTTTTAAAAATACATAATAAAAGTGTTTGTAGAGCTACAGTAGCTAACCAACACTCTCTCAATGCATTTTAAAAAGGCACCAATATAAAGAAATTTTATAAGTATTTAATACGTTAAATTCAGGATCTTAAGATACCAGTTACTGTATATTTTAATTATTTTGCAGAAACTGGAGGTTTAAAAACATTTCTAAGATAACTCTCATATATACAAACTTCAATTTCACCCCTACTCTTTTTTTCCTTTGCGTTTGGGGATTTTTTTTTTTTTTGATAATCGCATACAGATAGTACTTACTAAAACAATATATAAAATGTAACTAAAGATGACCACATATGTAACATATCCCTTTTTGTAAAATGAACAATGCAAAGTAAAAAAACAAAATGTAGCCAGTACCTCTTATAATCTAAATTCTGTCTTGAAACTAGGGGCATGCAGATTTTTGTTTATATTTTTGTAGTCTTTTCTGTTCTTTTTCTACTTTACGGAATCATTTTGGAGACAGGATGAAATAACATTTGGAGAATAAAACATGATTTTCATCTAGATGCCTTCACTAATGTATATTTTGTCAAACCTTTATAACATATAAAGACTTCATAGTTTTGTGAGGTGTAGAACCGATACACAATAACTAAATAAAAACAACATCAAGCTCACTAAAATATTCCAGTCTTTCTCCGTTTGCCAACAAGTAAAAGGTAATCATTTTTCTTTTCTGTATCTTCCTATTTAAAAGTTATTTGTGTTTCTTTCACTTTGGAAGTTATACCAAAACAACTTAAAGATCTTTTTGTTTGATTTTTTCTGGAAATAGATTGTAAAGACCCAAGGTTTAATAGTTGAACTAGTCCTAAAGACACACTAATAACTTCTTTAATATTTGTTAATACAATCAGGTAAATTTCCTAAATTGCTCAGGCGTTAATTATAATTTTAACTCTTTATGTGCTATTGCAACACATGTGGTCACTAATTGCTCCTTGTCATGGCTTTTCTTTAAGAGTGTGTATGTGTGTACAGACATACACTGTTGCACACCTACAATTGCTTGTACGTTTCTAGGAAAGACATTCCCTACTTTGTAGCCAAATCTAAATCCCGGTCTCTCATTTTCCCATTTTGTCCCACCAGAAAATTCTCAACGGAATGTTTTAACAACTTGAAATTCCTTCCAATCTGCTTATTGGTCATTTTCACTGTTCTAAAAAGCCATATTAGAATGGCTTTTTAAAAGTGATTGACCACTATTAGGGAGAGGCAGCACACATCTCCAACAGGAGCTGGAGATAAATTCCTGGGCAAAATTAGGGCAAAGCAATGTGATGAATTTCTGAATTTTTGCCAAACTAGAAAAGAGAGGCTAACCCATTCTCATGCCCCTCAAGTACTCTGTAATGTGAAATCTCACCTAAATAAACTGGGCATATAACTGTTATGTAAAACTTGATTTATTTGGTGTCTGACTCTCATATTTATTTTTAGGCCCTAACAACTTGCATATTTCCTTTTGTGAAGAAGGAGGCATGCAAATATAGCCATTCAGAGTTTCCCAGAAAGCACTGTGCCCACAAAAAATTCTTTCTAACCTGCACATTTGAATTGACCTCGTCCTCATTTGTCCCTGCCACACCCTGAGACATCTTTACCTCTTTCTGTTCCTCATATAGTGAAACTAAGAAAATACAAGTATACACTTGTAGCAAATACACTCTCACAAATATTCAGTCCCTTCCATAAAATAGATTTCCAAAGAGATGAAATGAGAAACAGAGTATACATTAGTACTGTCTTCAGGGGGGTACTATACAACTCTTTAGGTCCACCTAAAATTCAGCTTCATCCCAGGGCAGTTAGGTACATGATTGTTCATACACTGAAAAAAATTCCTAGATGATGCCAGCAGAGATCCACACACAGTCAAAGTGATGAACATATTATCTGCCATCCAAATGCTTCCTAAATTGCAGTAAGACACAAAATCAGTAACCTTAAATTATTTACCTTCCTCCAAAAAGGAAAAAAAATATATGAAATTCCAATTTTCTTGAGTGGTTAGGGTAGGGGCAGTAAGGGAGTCTCAAAAACATGCTTTACTTTTGGACATATTGTATGTTCACAATGTACCAAAGCATGCAGCGGGGGGTGGGGGGGGAAGACAGTTGACATTCTATTTAAAATATTTCATGTCTCTGTTTTGGTGCATTCTCTTTGATTTAAAGGAACAGTTTGGACATTTCTCCAAAAATAATTACAAGAGGGGCCAGTAAAGGAGAGCTGAGTTATAATCATTTTTGCCTAGCTCTAAGCTGTGTTAGTGCTTAGAAGTTGCTTAAATCAGCAGATGATAAATAAGAAAATGAGTAAAGAGCAGTATTGGGGCCAGGTTTGCTTCTCTGTCCATACGTCTCTAATCTTGCTAGTTCTCACAGCATCTGTATTAAGAAACATAGTTTCAGCATCCTATTTAATGATTTTTTTTTAGAGCAGTTATCAGTTACTGCTTAACTGAATCAGTATTCAAAAATGGCTATTAGATATTCCAGTCACAGACAGGACTGTCCTCCCTCAACACAAGCAGCATGTTCCGCATCCAAGTGTGTCTCCCCACCCCCCCCAAATGACTTGATCTCATCTGGTTCCCCTCTAATGCTGTTGGACTGCAGAGAAAAAATAGCACCCTTATAAATGAAATAAAAAATTTGCACATGAAAAATGGCAACATATGCAAGGATTAAAAGAAGAGAAAATTTTTACTAAGGGATTGAGATTCATTTCTGACAAGGACTTATAAATAGTTGAATGTTTTCAAGACAGAAAAATGTGCAGGACATGGTGACTTTCACTTGGAGGTTAGGTTACATTCTAGACTCCAAGAAGGGTAAAAATAAGCTTTGTTTTTTGTTTATCTGTAGTCTAATGTACAAGTTACAAAGAAGTTCCCTTTTCCGTGCACCAAAAGTGGTAACTATTATTATTGAAGGAATACTAGAATAAATAGCCCTAGTTCCATAACCTTATGGGGTTCAAGTTACCACATTCAGGTGGAATTAGTAATTGCTTTGAGATTTGGAAAGCAAAAACCTATAGCAAGATTTTTATGATCTCCCACTCAAATAGTAAAAGATAATGGACTATAGATAGAACACTGGGTGGTCACAGCTTGAAAAAACCAGTGAAAAGAGACATACTAGAAAAGGGATTTCTGAGTGGGCCCCCCCCGCAACCCCACTGTTAGCCTAATTATATTTTTCTGCTGACTGGTTAACACTGACTAAATGCTGATAAAGTGACAATCGTAAGCATACTTTTAGAAACAAATACGCATACTATGCTGCCATCACATTATAACTTTAAAAGAAAACTTCCCAAACAAATTTATGAAAAGTAGAGGTCCTTTCTGGAAACTACTAACTGCCTTTTAGCCACTCTTAGACCATATGTTATTCCGAAAACTAGATAAAAATACTATTCATTAAAGGTGTTAAAAGTAAGGCTGCCAGGGTGTCTATAAAATGCCAGTCATCAAAACTATGGAAAACAGTGCTTAAGTTTAGAAAAATAAGATCATAGGACCTCAGATGTATTGTAGGTATCCTTAACTACCTGTAGTTCAAAAGTTTTGCTATATGGTACAGTGTATAACATACCGTATTATAAATTCCATTGGGGAAGTAAACATAGAACCCACAACAACTCATCCAAGGAGTTTATCACTGAAAGTAACAATGTGTTTGTGTTCCATGATCTCTAGAGGGGGAAAAAAAACAGTTTATATTTTGAAACAAAATTCTTCCTTGAAGAGTAAAATTACTTATACCACTTTAAACTGAGAAAGTTCTACCCAGAAAACTCTAAACTTTCCTGCCTTCAATCATAATCCTGAACATCAGTGGCAAATTAGAATCTCTCAGGTGAATCTATATGAATCAAGTGATTTTTTTTCAAAGCATGATATACCTTATATTTATGCGTGGCAGAAATGGAACTGCTCTTAAATTCCCATAAAATAAACAAGCCAAGTTATCAAGAAACAATATCCCTTGTCCCTTCTCTCTTCTGTTTCTTCCTTATTGTAATTAGGCAGGCAAATGACACTGCGTCCACGAAATAAGAATCAATGACAGTAATAATATTAAACAACAAAAAAAGGTATGTCAACATCTGAGGGAAGGTGGGATTGTAAGTGCAGTATTTCTTCATGTGCAGTTCGTTACTTCATAGGGGTCCCCTTTGGAATGAAAAGGCCTAGTGGAATGTGTGCTCCCCTCGAACAATGTGTGATGAAAACTCGTAACGGTCCTGGCTTCTGTAGCCACAGATGTTGCATTCCAGTGGGTCCCGGTAGCCATGGCAACCCATGTGAATGGTGTACATGACATGGTCTAGGAAAAGGACTCGGCAGTGCTCACATTTGAAGGCCCTAATCTGTTCTCCTTCTCCATTGAAGACCTTGTAGATGTCCTTCAGAGAGCCCTTAGGAGCCTTGGTGGTATCCAAAGCCTTGACATCCTCCTTCATGTAAGCTGGGCTTTGTTTCCTCTTGGGATTTAAGGCAGGGTTTCCTTGGTAGGACTGGTGGTCATCATGGCTGCTTTCTGAGTCAGTAGAATCCAGGCAGCTATTGCTGGGCGAGGCCTCTCTTTCCTGGGGTCGACTCTTTGGTCTGATGAGAGAGAGAGGACCATCCATGTTGTTTTCATGACTATCGGAGGTTTCCCTGCTAATGGGTCTTTCTATCCTGTTTGGATGATAGACCTGAGAATAAGCTGAGCTTATAACTGGGGCCACCTCAGCGATTGTGCTTGGCGGGTGCTGCATCAGTGGGTGAAGGGCCTCAGCTCCAAGGTAGGTGATTGCATTGTTGATGGCTTGGTCCATCATATGAGACTGCATTAGCTCAGCCTCCTTCTCATATGTTAAGTTCATATCAAAGTGAATGTCTGGGTAGCTGAATCGCATGAGCTTTTCCCCTGAAAGGAGGAGGGCGAGAAAAGTAAAACAAAATACAACAAAATTAGTGATTGGATTAAAATATAAATGTACAAAGTTAATCGTCTCCATTTTCTATAATATGATAATCTTATTTTTTAGATCAAGCATTTGGGCTCTTTAATTCTGCTGAGACTCACAAATACTCTCAACCTGCAAAGAGGATTAGTAATAAGAATTTCACAAGCCATTTGCACTTGTTTTAATGCCATCATGAAAATGCATCTAGGCTGAAAGTTATGATTGACTGTATTATTTTCATTCTCAATTAAAATTTCCACTTGTCTACAGCTCAGTGACTATAGGCAAAAGAAGAAATACCAGGTGAAAATAAGTCAGAGACTCTGCCTGTTTTGCATATTTTAGACATCAGTGACCAAGCCACAAAGATCACAAAAGCGAGAGTGATCTGCTTATAACCTCTGTCACCTCACTGTTATATAGGGTTAATTTGGTTGATTTAATGGCTATATTAGAAAAAAAATTATAAAGCCTGTATATGTCACCCTGGAGAATTAAAAAAACATCACCATTAAAATACCATTAAAAGATGTATTGTTTGGGGGTGTCTGGGTGGCTCAGTCGGTTAAGAGTTTGACTCTTGATTTCGGCTCAAGTCCTGATCTCAGGGTCATGAGATGGAGTCCCAGGTCGGGCTCTGTGCTGGGCATGGAGCCTGCTTAAGATTCTCTCTCTCCCTCTCCCTCTCCCTCGGCCCCCTCCCCACCGCTTGTGTTTGCATTCTCTCTCTCTGTCAAAAAAAAAAAAAAAAAGGTTGTATTGTTTGATAAACTGAATGAAATTTAGGACTGTTTAAATATAGGAGTCATTTCCAAAAGTAGTTTATTTATAAACTTGGAAAATACTATGTTTTGTTGTTTTGCTTCTTGAAATGGAGAATTAATCATTTTTACACCACCCCTTCCTTATTCAGACATATGGGCAATGGTGCTGGTATGTACATCCATTGTTAATTTTCTATACTTTAACTTGATTGAAGGATTATTGTAGTTTTCCCTTTAATATTTACTTCAACAAATTTATATTTTACTTCAAGATTAGCCATGAAAGAGTTCTGTGCATAAAGTAGGAGAAGTAATTTTAATTTTTCTCCTTTAAATATTGCCAGCTTTGGACAGCATATTTTATCTTTTTAAAATTCTGTCACTAAATGCGGTCTCCTACTAATTGCCTGGTTACTTTGATAGGTAAATCTCACAGATAAAGACTTCTTAAAAATATATGTGGACTTCTTATAAATGTTTAGTATGTTGTTATAGATGGATGCCTAATTTGTAATGTTAATGAAAAAACATTGATCCACAGAACTGCATTCTGGAAAAGCACTTTTGGATAGCTAGTATTAATTTCAGATTTGAAGAGAGGTCCCCAAAGTGAGATCAGGGTAATGATCAGAGGAATGAAGAAAAAAATGATGAGACCTTATCTCATGGCATTCAATTCAAGATATCACAATGTTAAGAGTTTAAAAGTTGAGCTAGACAAACCTAATCTACATTCTCTAAGCTTACAGTTTACAGGGAGTGACAGCAATTTAGGGATCATTATTAATACAGTGTGATATATGCTATGAGGTCAAATAAAAGGAATATATAATTAGGGGAGTAAAAGAAGACTTCTTGAAGAAAGTGGCATCAGGGATATGTGATGACAAATACTAGCTAAGTAAAGGAATGTGGGGGTGGAGCCTCAGGTAGGAAGGCTCGGAGGCAAGAGGGTATGACTTGTTCAAGGGATTACTTACATTTCACTATATAGCTGAGAGTGGAAATAGATGAGAAAGATGGAAAAGATAATAAAAGGGCTCATTCAACAGCTAAGGAATTGGAATTTTATCCCAAGGGCAATAAAGATTAAAAGGTTAAACAGGGAAGTGACTTGAATAGGTATTTATTGAGATGGTTGAGGAAGTTATTGCCATAAAGATCATGGTGGCCTGAATTAGTACAGTAGCAGTGGAAATGGAGAAAATTGGATGGAATGGAGAGAAATTTAGAAAATATAGTTTCTAGGGCTTGGTGATTATAGACATGGTGACATAGAACATGAGTAAGAGAAAGAAATTAAACATGGAGCTCAAGTTTCTAGCCTAGGAAACTTAGTGGATGGCAATGAGATAGAAAAGATGATGAGTTCACACTGGGAAAGGCTGAGTAATAATCATGGTCCAGTAACTACCAATATATAGTCTCAAATTTTGGAGAGAGACCTCTACTTGAGATGTAGATATCTAAGTCATCAGTTGACAGAAAGTGACTTCTGAAGCCACAAGAATAGAAGATATAACCCAGGCATAGGTAAAGTGTGAAGAAGAGAAGGTCAAAAATAGAACCTGGAAGAACACCAAGATTTTTAATGCCTGCCCACAGATCAAGGCAAGTTGGATTCTTGCACTGGGCCCCATGTTTACAGAGTTTTTTGCTCCTCATGGAATGAGGAATGTATATAGCCAAGGGAATGTGCCTATCTGGAGATTACTCCCTAGACCATACCCTGGATACCCAGGACCCCAGAATTCCTTGCCCAAATGGCACTGAGCTTGCATCAAGGGTTAGCACAGTCCGCATCAAAGGGTCTATCCTCCTGAGTACCAATTTGTACTGCTGGTAGGCCTGAGGAGTGGCCAACACACTACTCTTTATGTGCTATGTGTGGGGTCTAGAATGTGTAGGCTGGAGCGTCTACATACGTGGGCATGAGGCCCCTTTTGGTACTGGACAGAACCAGAGGTAGGTCTAAGAGAGGCCTGGCTGCAGGTCAGGCAGTGGTTCTGCTCATGCTGTCAAGGTCTGGTGTGGAACTCTAAGGAATCTGAGGATTCTATATTTATTTGAACTCAATCTTCCAAGTTAGGAAGGTAGAACACAATAGTTTTTCAGCTTGATTTAAAATATTAAAATATTTAGGCACATGAATGGAGGCCTCCATTAGTACTTTTGCTCCATTTGCATAGCTGTTAAGGGTAAATTCATAATGAAGATTGAGAGGTAGCAAAGAAGCTGGAAGAAATGCAAGAGAGATCAATGTCATGGACACCAAGGAAAGAAGTGTTTCAAAAGGAATTAATTATTCAAGAGTGGCAAATGCTCTCTAGAAGTTGTGTAAGATAGTCTAAAACGGGTCCACTGCACCTGGCACTATGGAAGCCGGTGGTGACCTCAATGAGGAAGAAAGCCAGGTGGCAGAGACTGGGGAATAAGTAGAAAGAAATTATGGAAAGCAAGCATAGAGAACTCTTTCAACAACTCCATTTTCGAAGAGAAGGAAAAAGTAGGTAGTAGCTAGAAGGAGACTTGGGTTTAAGGGAAGTTTGTTTTTTTTTTTAATGATGAGAATTTATCGTATTACATACGAAAAGGAAAATGCCAAGAGAGGGGAGAGGTTGAAAATATAAGTGAGAAAAAGGAATAACAATGTAAGATATCTGGGGGACTGGGAGAGGAGAATTCCAGAGCACAAGAAGAGGAATTAACATTAATTAGAAAGAGGGATACTTCTTTCATTCAAACAAAGAGGAAAAAAAGAAAGTATTCATATAAATACAGATAATCTTTATAAGATTAGTGATATTATATTGAAACTATTTTGACTGATTTTATTCCCTGTAAGCTGAGATATAATACCATCAAGGAGTGAGATACAATGTTTGTGGAGAATGAAGAAATGTTGAAATGGCTACAGGGCTGAGCAGGAAAGAGGACTGCCGAAGAATGGATTAAAGGAGGACTGCTACATATATGGATGGAACAACTGATATTGGAGATCACTTATTCATTGATTTATAGTGACACCAATTTGTAAGGCTGTGGGGTTTTCTCCACAAGTACTATCAGTCCTGTTGATATGAGAAAGATGCTCCTCTTTTCACTAGAGAGTGGAGTTTCACCAGGAGGAGGTGATAGAAAGGCAACAAAGTAAGACAGTCAAGAATATTGTCAAGAGAGTGGTAAAAGTGATTAACCATGGAATCTAAGCTGGATAAGAAAAAGAAAGGAGGACACAAAAAGATATGCAGAAAGTTCGGGGATCGTTGGTCTGGAAGGCTTGATAAGGTCAAAGAACAGTATTTAACTGAGGAACATGGTAAAAAGGAATTTATAAAAAAAATCATAGAGATAGTGTGTGATTATTTTTTATATTTTACTAGAATGGATAATCCAAATAAAAAATACCATTAAATTCCTAATAAAAATCTAATATTTTTTTTTAGAAATTTTTAAAAATCAAAATGTAATCTAAAAAAATCTGTCCCTCTAAATCAAATTGAGACTAGTATCTCTAAGTCACAGGAAACAAAAATATTTCAAAGAACATAACTAAATAGATTCAGAAGACATAAAGACATATTTTCCCAACATACTAGTGTCTAGTTGGGATATAGGCATTTTAATGGACATCAATTAAATTGATCAATTTAAAAAATGAGATGGCATTTAAAAAATAGTTATTTATAAAAAGGAAGAGAGAAAGCAGAAAGAAAAGTTACTTAGGGCCCAAGGCAGGCCTTTGAGCATTCTTGCAGGGGCTTTAAGTTGACCTAGGATCAACTGTGATCCCTTAGGGCTGTTCTCTAGCCTTTTTTCCAATGAGCTCTGTCAATAACTCTCTCCAGCTTGTCTTAAAATGATATTTTGGTCATTAGTTCTTCAATTTTAGATTGGAAGGAAATCTTCTCTAAGTGATTACTGGAGTAAAAAAACTTTATTAGCCTTCCCTCCCTGAAATAACCAAAGAGAACATATTCTCCCATTCACCACTCAACACATAGCGGGATGTTCTGCAGTACTCTTTGACACTAGAATGTGAGAATCTATTTGAAAATCTTTCTTTTCTAATTTTTACCCTATATAAAGTCTGTAAGAATAGATATATTACATATATAATTAATGGCAATTCCTTATACAGAATCACTATTTTTAGACATTCTTAAAAAACTTGGATGCTTTTTGCATCCTTAGAGATACTTTATGACTTACAGCGTACAGAATGATGCCAACTCTGAGTGTATTAAAGAATATCTAAGGGCTTGGAAATGAAAAAGAAAAGTCTAAATACATCATATTTAATCTTTTTGTTTCAAAACCATAGGGCAGATGAAAACAAAGATCCACATATGAAAGATAGATCCAAATATGAAGGCTCTTGAATGTAGGTTGCTGCATTATTTTTCTAATGAAGAATTTGGGGGGGGAAGATTTCTCTTAATTCCAGATCAAATAGCAAAAGCATTAATACCATGTAAAGAAAAGAGTTTAAAGACCTGGCACTAATGGAAACTGGAAAACAGATTACAAAACTAGCTTATAGATGACACCGTTTTCCTTAAGTATTTTTATTTTGTACATAAATGAACATTTTATTTTATATACTACTATACTTTCTATATAATTTCATTTTGAGATAGCAAATTTTATCAGTCTTTTTTTATTTCCTAGGCCCATACACCTAAGGGTGTGTGTGTGTGTAAGTGTGGTACCCATGGAACAGCATAAAGTAGGAATGAATAATGGACAAAAGAGATGTGTATTTATCTCTTGAACTGAAAGATACCATCTATGTTTCTAATACATGGGAACCTACTTCTGCTCGTTAAAACCACCTTTTAAGAAGTAAAATAATTTGTAATGCTTACCCACAAACTTTTGTGGAGTGGAGCTTTTACGTTTTCCCATATTCCCTGTGAGCTTCTCTATGACAGCAGGTCTCTCAAAAGGCACCAGAGAAATATTGTTGTCCATGATAGGCTCTTGTTCCTTACAATCTTCCATAGGAGGTACTATGCAAAACCATACAAAAAAATGCAATCTGATAATTTCTTCAACATTTAAAAGATATAAAGCTGGATGTGACACCTCGGTATGTGTTAAACATAAGCTAGTATGCTTGAATAAAAGTAGAAAGAATAATCTTTAGTGTTAAAGTACACTCTCTAATTTTACACACACACACACACACACACACACGATTTGTTTTTATCCGAGTCACTCTCGGATCAATGACATAAACTGTTGGTCACTATTGGTGGCAAACATGTTGATCTTGTTTCTCATCTTACTCCTCTGGAAGTGTTTTTAACATTGATTAAAATCAATACCACTTTTAGACTGCACTATTTTCAAGGCTTTTGGACTTTATTTTTCTAAAACAATTTAAGTCAACTTGTTTTGCAGGAAAGCTTAAACAGACACACGGAATAACAGCATGATATTTAACCAGTTTTTTTTCACCCGTGTATTTTCCTGTAGCAGATTTTCTACTGATGAGCTGAGTGAGCTGTTAGCCCTATTGGCAGTAGATAAATACCTGCACAAAGCAGCCTTCATGAAGGAGTTCCAATTCTGAACATGTCTACACATAATAAACTGTGGCCGCTTTATGATTGCAATTTATTTTAAAAAGAGCTCTTCAGCAGGATAAAAAATTCCATTTCCAAACTGGCATATTTGCTCACTAAACTACTGCTCTAATTCACTTGACATAAACTCTCCAAAGCTGCTCCCTCTTCATCCCATTTGTCTAAATTGCTGTGAACTAACAGATTAGCTCAGAGATACTGACATTAGATATGGACATTCACAGTACAAAGAACTTATCAAAGTTGTTTTTGAGTAAAAATAATGTCCAAGGATGTTTATGGATACAGTAACATCTGAGGCAGATGAGATCAATGACTGAAGCCAATGTTCACAGGAAAGACCATAACTTATTCCTAATTATCACTGCTTTCTCTAAATTGTACCTGTGCCAATACTGTTTGGGAACGTAAAGGTTGCATATCTTAGGCTATCTTTACTTGTTCCACATATACTGTAAAATGATTTATTCTGCTCCTTTCATTTGTAAAGGACAGTTCCACTGTGTGAAACACAATACATTCTCATTTATAAGGGCGGACACTAAAATAAAATGAGAAAGCAGGAGATGAAAGTTAAGAAAATCCAGTGCACAATTCAGGTGACCTACTTAATAACCAATACAGGTTGCTGATTTTGAAGAAATGAGTGTATTAAGTAAATGCTAAGTACTATTCTAAATGGCAACAGAAAAATGTTTTCCTAATTTGGACATGTTTAAAGAAATTGATATTCAGTCTAAGTTTTGGGTTAACCTCGTCTTGTATAGTCCAGCGGATGGGCCAGAAAAATTTACTCTTCAATGTCTATAAGATATGGCTACTATTGACAAGAGATGCCATAATCACTGGATTTTAATTTGGAAGGAAGTTAGGAGTTTCAGAAACAAGGAAACACTCAGGTCATTTTCTATACTGATATAATCCATGATATTATCAAGTGGAAAAATATATAACCCAAGATGTTACATAAAACATTATGTCCTCTTTCAGCAACAACTAAAGTAAAAACATGTACTTAAAAAGAAAAGCAAAGAAAGGCTGACCAAAAAATTCAAACAAGGGTGGTCAGGAGGACGGAAGGGCAGTGGAGAATGGATGTGGTTAGGAACCATTAATTAGATACAGATTATTGTCAAAATCTTAACTTTTGTTTTGGGTGGTGGATTTATAGGTACTTACTACATTATTAAACGTAACTATAAAGCTAAAAAACAGGCCATGTATGGACTGAAGATGAAAATATGTCACAAACCAGGATCCAAAATGAAAGAAGGGAAGAAAAAAAGGTTTGTTGTTGTAAATTTTGCTAAAAAAACAGCAAAACTGGTTAACAGGGTTTGCCCCCAAATTGAATACATTAATTAGTTTTGAAATGAGTAGTCTAAAACTTGGCAGTTTTGCTCTAAGTCTAACCTTGAATTTTCATATTTGCACACATTTAACACTCAAAACGAAACCTGGGTGTGCGCACTGTCCCACACCACATCCACCTCAATTCAGATGATTTGTCCCAAGTTCAATGAAGCTCATGTGAACTGAAAACAATGACTTTGTCAGAGCTCTTGTCTTACTTCTATTTTACATCAGCCCTTCACATATCAAATATTGATTCTGTTTCTACCGTATCAGCAATAATAACAATAATTGATATATACTATGTGCTAAGTACTATTGTAAGACTGGATTTAATAATTCATTTAATCTTTTCAATAACCCCCTCGAGATAAGTACCATCTCCATTTTACTGATGGTGCAACAAAACCCCAGAGATTCCTTGGGGTTTATACCTAGTTAGTAGGGAATATATGAGTTGAACCTAGGTGGTCTGGCTCTAGAGTCTGGGCCCTTCGCCATTATGCTACACTATTCTTTTGTAGACATAATTTGAGTGTTGAATTTTCATAAACAAGTTTGACATATTTTTAAGGTCTGCCATTGGGAAAAGAGCTGATACATTTTCTCAATTATGTAACTAATCCGATTTTTTTTTTTTTTTTTGCTTTCAAGGATCTGGGTAGAGTGATGGGCTTGAAACACAAAACAAGTTAAGTTACTTCAATAATGCAACAATCACATAGAGATTTACCTAGGCTAAGAAAACACCAATAAACTAATCTTACTTGTTAGAGCAAACTTCATAACCAAATATCCTCCTTGACCTTATTTTTGATGTTATAACCAAGATAAAAATATTTACACTTGTACTATTTCATTATCTCATCACACTGATAAATCTTAAAGACAGAAGCATTTAAGAGTGTTCCCAACATAGCTATTTTTACCAAACAGTCCACTCAAAATTCAAAATCCAAGAAGACAGAGTCTGAGGGACCTGGATTAGGTCACATGTCAACCCTCTGTCCAAGAGAGGGCAGGCAACATAGGCTGACAGTCCTGACATGGCTTCATGCAATGGGAAACAGTTCTCTAAAGGAAAATGGAAATTTTGTTATCAGAAGAAGGAGGGTATGTAGGACAGGCAAAAATAATGGATGTCTTCTACACTGTCATACATTTTCTCCAGGTTGCCAAATATTAAAAAAAAAAAAATCAATTCTCTTATTTTCTTGGCAACATCCGATGGTGCCAATACTTGCTTGCTTTGGCTTCTGTGAAATCACTCTTCCCATTCTCCCATTCTCTGCTCTTACTCATCTTCATGGCTTTTTTTTTTTTTTTTCCTCTTTTTCTTCCTGGTATGTTGTTGGCCATCTAGATGTCTCACTCTATAGTTACCCATATAACTTTAGAAAACATATTACTTCAGGCTACTGCCTATATAATGATGGCTCCCAAATATGAACTTCCTGCCCAGACCTCTCTTGAAAACTTGAGATCTATATATTCAACTTCTTCTCAGTTTTACTTGGTGGTTCAGTCTCTCACCGGTGCCTAAAAGATAATGCGTTCAAAAACTGAAATCTCCATCTCCCACCCCAAACTTTATCATATTTTCCTAATTACCATATTCTTGAATGGCACCACTATCTACCTGGTCATCCATGCTAAATACCTGTGGCAAATGCTAGGTTTCTTCATTTCATCCAGTCTCTTTTCCCTTCTCTCTACCACCTCCTCCTCATATACACACATGGAGGTACTATGTATTTTAGGTTCTACATCTGCAGTTGCTCTCAGTTTTTAACTGTATATTCCAGACTACTAAACCCAACTTGACCAATCAGATTGTTGCAATGGTCTACTTGCTTCTGTCTTGACTCTTCTGATTGATGTCCTATATGCCTAGCAATTAAACGTTAATCCACAATTATTTTTTAGGATAAAGTACAAAATTCTTTGCTTAGCACAAATGGCCCTTGATACTCTGTTCACAGACTATTTCTCTGACCTTATTACCTTCTAATTTCTTCTGCCCTTACAAACTGCGCTCTAATTATACCAGTTATTTGTAGGTCCTTAACTCACCATGCTCTTTAGGCTTCTATATCTTCATACATGCTGTTCTCTCTGCATAAAAGACTCTTCCATTTATTTAGCTGGCCATCTTGCCTTTCAAAACTCCACTCAAATGTAACTTTCCCCAGAAATTCCTCTTGGACACCCAGAATCTGATTTGGACATCTATCCTCTATGCCCCTATAAAGCATGTCAGACAGTGTTCTGTTGGTTTACTGGTCTATATCTTCCAGTAGTTGATAAGTAACCTTAGGGTAGGGATTGCATTTTATTTGTGTCTCTCATACCTTTTATGATGTGAAACAAATATAATATTCAGTGTATCTTTACTGAATGACTTCATGAAGGAAATAATGTTACCCAATGGAAACAAGTTGAAGAAGTTTACTAGAATTTACAGATTTTTAATTCTGTTCCCTAACTGGCAATAAAGAACTTCCCTTTCTCAAAAAATTCAAAGCATAAACTTAAGAATATATGTTCTTGCTTTAAAGCTAGCTATCTTTTGATTCATGCTTTCATTTTTGTCTTCCGGCAAGGGGGAAAAAGCTAATTACATACTTTAGCATTTAAAGTTTTTTCTTCAAGCTAAACAGACTTGAAAAATGAGCATAAAGATAATTTTCAAATAAGATAATCTGCCATAAAATCCATTATTATTTTTACTTCCACAACTACAAGTCATGAATTTTCTCCTTTTCCCTCAAACTCAAAAACTTTTTAGTCTACCTCCTAAAATATGTCTTAAATGCTTCATCCTGTTCTCCTCTCCTGTTACTGCCTTCTCATCTTTTCCTTGGCATTCTCACTTCCAGTCTCTCCTCCCACCTCAGTCAGACATCTCTCCTATGTTCTTCATTGGTGACATTTTTCTTTACAAGACACAAATTGGATTACCCCAGTGGAATTCAAACATTGGATTAGCAATAAAAGGCTCCATTTTTGCATTACAACCAATTATGTCAGTCTCATTTCCTACCACTTCTTTAACTCCAACTATGTTCAATGTCCAGGAACCTGCTAATGTTATTTTATACCTCCAAGTGTTAGCCTGTGGCAACTGCTCTGCCTGGAACGTACATTCTCTGTGAATCTAATTTGTATGATTTTTCTCAACCTCATGTATGAATCAAGCCCTGGATGTAAGAAGGTTTTCTTGATTTCTGGAGACAGAGTTAGGTCAGCTCTGCATTTTAGCTCCTGGAGAAGTGTGCATACGTCTTTATTAGAGCGTTTGCTTCATTTTATTCATCTTTCTTTAAAGTACCTATTTCCTACCATACTATAAATGTAAGAAAGAAATTGTGTCCATTTATCTTTATATTCCCAGAATGTTGTGTGGGAAATTGGCACATAGCAAGCCCTCAATAAATGTTTCCTGAATGAAGTGAAAGAATGCCTCTTTGACCTCAGACATTCCCCTCCCTAGAAGAGTCAACATGGGGAAGAACATGTTTTAGGAAAGAGAGGCTAGGAGACATAACTATGTCAGATAGGAACAAAACAAAGAAAAGAATAATTTCAAAGGGCTAATGGCAACCACAATGATGGCAACCCCCACCTCTACCACTAAAAGAAAAGATAAAAAAGACAAGATATAGCAGGATAGTAAGAGAGGGAAGGATATAAATATGAATTTCACTGTAGCTGTCTTTAAAAGGAGACACATGCCAAGCTATGTATGTGAGACAAGGTTAAGGATGAACTCTAGGAGCATTTTGCCAGTATGTTTTTCCTCTTACAGCATTTATCAATTTTTACCCCATATATCCAATTCTGCATTAAGAATGTTAACAGAAGAAAAAGGAGATTACGGATACTCTCAAATTATTATTACAACATCCCCACAAGAAGTACAGCATGAAATGATGTTAATATAAACTTATGTGGTTAAAACTATATCCAATATTGAAGAACAAATATTTGGGTCTATAAAGGATACCAAAACCTATCTCCTCCTCTTACACTCCCCATACACTTGTCTTTGGCTTTGTCCCCGGCTCTACCCAGTACCTGAGTATCTTCCTCACTTTCTCCATTCTGTTACAGTTTTAGAGCAACCTATAAAGGGCTTTTGATTATTAAGGGCTAAGCAATCTGGGAAATGAGGGTTGATGCTATGGTTGTTTAGAAGTCTTTTCCCCCCAGAATACACCTGCTTAATTTTTCGTCAGCACTTATTCTATAACTGGTTAATTTGCTAACACATAGTTAAATGTTGACTATTTATATACACTTTACATAAAGTCTTTTAGAAGAGACTCTTTCTTATTCAGATGTGTGTGCAACACACTTTCCATTGAGTTTATGAAACTCAGTGGAAAAGGAATTAATATAATTAATAATCCAGTCAAATGTCAAAACGGCAAGGAGAGAACATTATATGGAAAAAACAGTAGTAGTACCACAAAATGTCTTTAGAAAATTTTGGCATGCCCTCAAGCCTCCACCAGTTACCCTGCCTCAAGCCACCTCTAAAAACAACAATTTAAACAGAAACGGCAAATGAAACCTCAAATGCTACGTTAATGCTGGTAAGTAACATAACTCTATAGGGCATGGAACTTTTAACATTTCTTAATATTTAATGCCCTGAAATGTAATAGTGAAAAGAACTATTTATTGGGTATTTATTGCACATCCAATCACATTTAGTTCTCATACCGAGTCTGTGACATAGACACCACACAGCCAGGCCAGGTTAGTGGACTCCTAGACCGACCATTTTACATTCCCTGCTCTGGATCCTATGCTACCTTCATAAGCCCAGGTAATGCAAGCTTGCAATATCAAATTTACTACGACATAAAACACAGGTTTTCAAAAATGTTAGTTAATAATGATAAAATAAAAACAAAGGACTCATTCACAATAACAAATAGAATTAAATAATTCTTTAGATTATATAAACTACCCTCAAGAAGAAATGCTTCAATTATTCAGGGTAACACAATAAATATTTTAAATTAAATTCTCAACAACAACAAATAATCACTTGCTGTCCTATAAACACAGTTCCACAATGTGTACTACATAAAACAAAACAAAACCCACAAATAATCCTTGAGCTGTCTATAAGTTGTTAAATAGATATTTATATTTTGAAAATGACTACAGCATTCTCCAGTTATATTATCTGATACTGGCTAAATCTTTTTAAAATAAAAGATATAAATTCAACAATAAGATTTTTGTATGTACTTATATGAATGATAAAATTAATCAGTATAAAAATATAATTAATAGGACAAGACAGATGCTCCAAATCTCAAGAACTAAAATTCATAACTTTCCTTCGTAAGGCTGATTATCAACATTAATTTTTCAGTAATGTAGAGTTATTAGTTGATAAACCTTAGAAACTACCTTCCTACCTGCTATTGTATATTGCAGAGATGAGGATGTTTTGCTTGGGTTTTGATTTTTGTGGAGGGAAGTGGTGCCTAATTTTAGTCTAGATTGTCCCCTACACTTGTAGAAAGCAAGATGAGTAATTTCCAAGATAAATCACAAAACAGATTAGAGAAATTTCCAATTATATCAATTCTATTACTGATCACTTACCTAAGAGAAATGAAAATACACAACCAGCTCTTTTAGGAACTCTACAGACTTTCCTAGAACCATTTAACTCTTTGGTGCAGCCAATGAAAGAGGAGAGCAAATACTCTCTTCCTTTGGTGTATTCAAAGCCGGCTGTCATTATTATCTTAATTCAAATGCATGTTATCAGAAATAAATCTGGGAGTTTCACAAAAACTCAGTACAGCTTGTCTGCCAAGGGTCCCAAAGCTCAACTCACTTCACGTGCTTCAGAAGATAATCCCATGCAAAGTTAATGTGATCTAAAATTGTTTTAAAAAGAGTAAGATTTTATCTTCACGCTCAAGGGTAGGGAGAGAGAACCGTTTAACCCCTAAGGAACTACAGAGGCAGTGAGGGGGCATGCAAATGGTGAATGCCGATTCTACCCACCATGGTGACTCATGGCCTGCCCGGCAGCCTCCATGCTGACATTCTGGAGATAGTTGTGGCAGCGCTCCTTGTGCTCCTCCAATGAACTGCGCTGCTTGTAGCTTCGTCCACAGTAGTTGCACTTGTGAGGTTTACCCACTGCGAAGAGAACTCAAGATCAGTGTGCCGTCAGTCTCCTCCAAAGCAGAATTAACATCTGACTTTTGATAGTGTGGAGGGAAGCATTTATATGTTTTTCAGACTCAAATCTCTTCCTCCTCCACACTCTGCTTTAGGCAAGAAAAGCTAATAAATTTCTACCAAGACTAAAAGACAGCAAGAAGATAAGGCAAGATTGTACCTTTGGTGTTAAGGGAAATACTGAATCGAATTCATGGTCTGACTGTATCCTAGATCATGAGGGGTTGATGATCAGTCTTCAAATTATGTGACTCGTAACACTAACATTTGCTCTTACATAATTCTCTCAGCTTTGACTCATTCAAAAGACAAATCAGGAGTGTCCTAGATACATGGTGAGAATTTTTTTAATTTATTTTTTGGGGGGATAAGGACAGAGAAGTTTTACTGAAGAAAACTAAAATGCAACAAATGGAATGTCATTGTTTAATGAAAACATTATTCATGGTACGGTTGGTACCAAGGACACTAAAAAGAATTCAAGTGATGAGAAAAAGTACAGATAAAAGCAGAGTTTCTCTTTTCTTTCCACCTTGGTAATAGCTGTTCACACATGCAAAACTTTGCAGCAGATAAGTGTATTCTCCCACATAAGCACTGTTACCAAGAATTAACCTACTAGGTGCTTTGAGTCAGAATTATTAACAATAACCACTGAAGTCCTAACCTATTTAGTTATACGATGATAGTAACATTTTCTTCTTCTTCTTTTTTTTTTTTTCTAATGCATTTCACGTTCAGGAAATGAATTATTTCCTAGTAGCCAGAGAACCGTATCTCAGTACACCAAGTAAAATACTTCGATGCTCACATTAAAAAAAAAAAAAAAACTTCCAAAGAAGCAAAACACGCTTATGGAAAGAGACATGTTTTACTGTATGACAATTCACAAGGATATCACAGAGCACTTTGATTCTTGGTTTTGAATGAGTACAGAAAAAACATAAAACACCAGCTGGTCTGTGCCAAAGCCCTCGGTAGTGAAGTGCGGTGTAAATCAGGTCAGTGGCCCTCATCGGACATAGGAATCACTTTGTTTTGCCCAGAGGACAAACAGACCACTCTTTTTCATAGTCAAAGATAGTATCCCTAACTCCAGTCACCTTACAAACCCATGCTATGACACTGGTCACAAGCGGAATTAAAATACTGTAACAAGGCAAGGTATTCAGAGCCGCATAGAAATTTCACTGTACTGATTAAAACCAAAAACCAAAAAAATAAAAACCCACCAAATTTTTAAATTGTATTTGAGGTGCACATAAACTCCGTTATTTCATGATCATAATTTTTGTAAATAGTTTTAAATAAAAGCCATCTAAAGCAGGATTAGTCATTTCTAAAAACACGAAGCAAACGAAGTTCTATTTTTCAGAACCAAGAATTTTTATATATCGAACCAAAGTATCTCTGTATATTGCAAAGAATCTTTATCACTGTGTGAGAACATTAAAAACGACAAGAACATAATTTTAGTCAAAAACTTTTCACGTAAATAGTGTAAATATATTTACATGTAATTGCATTTTAAGATATGGGGTTACATATTACAAAAAGCTTTTGTTTGCTATCACTATTACTTAATTTGGGGGATTTTTAGTGCTGTTTCTCTAGAAATAAATGAATTTGCACTAAACAGGTCTACTAACTAATACTTATTAAGCACATACACTGTGCTCAAGAGCCCACCGTCACCTAGTTTCATCGTCTCTGTCTTCCCCCTTTATGGGTCCTGTTGCCCTGTGTCCTAGGATATCTGTTATATTATGAACATATCACCCTATACTTTCTTCCCCTTATTTATATAAACCTTATACCTTCTGAACTTCATTTAAACGTAGTTCCCTTCCACTCCCCTTGGCTCACAGCCCTCAGTAAACTTCTAACTCACCCACCAAAGAAGAAAAGACAGTATACTTTTTACTGTTTTCGAAACTCATTTTTTTTTACTAACCTCATTTTTGAATTCTATCCTTTCTGTTTTACTTCAGCTTCTCCCATTTGACATCTGTTTTAAAACATCACTCTTTCCTCTTCATCCCAATTTGAGCAAATTGTTCTAGAAGTATAACCTCAATTTCCCCAAAATCTTGATCTGTGTTCCACTACAGCAATCCACATACTGGGCAACATATGTTGGACTTTGATATCCTGTAACTGTTTTATCCTCAAGACATTTACTTTGGAAATGCTCCATTTTATCCTTCTGCCTCTCTCATCTAATACATATTTGTTAAAAACCTACTATGTACCAACAACACTGTGATGAGGTTGGAATGTAAAGTAGAGAACAAATTCTCACAGTGCCTATCCTCAAGCAACTAACTGGTGAGGCAGACAGGCATTTAACAAATATACAAGCAATGTATTACAAATTGTGGTAGATTCTATAGAGCAAAAGAATGGTGTGTTAGCCTAACACAGAGAACCTAATTTAGTTTGAGAAGGTTGGACAGGAAGGTCTGCCCGAGGTAGGAACACTTCTGCTGATAATTGAAGGAAAAGTTAAGTTAATCAGATAATGGGGTGGGGGGGTAGGGTGGAGGAGAGGCAGTGTTTCAGGATTTCTGGGAACTGCCGTCATCCTTTTATTTCTTTTCATGTACTTAGCTCCTTTCAAACATCAACAACAATCCTTGCCAGATCCAATGGCTCTACTAGCCCCACAAGACCACTTCCTGTCAGTTCTTTGATATTTCTTAAAAATCAAGTTCACAAAAATATTGTTTACATTTACTCCCTATATATGATAAGTTTATTTGTGTAATATTTATAAACCATCAGTTAATATGTATAACACATTATTTTGCATTTATTTTTATAAGTTTTATTACATTCTCACCATCTGAAACATCTTCATTCTGATATTACTGAGACATTTTTATAAAGTCATCAATAGCCTCTGAATCACTAAATCCAGCAGATTTGATTCTAAATCTCCCTAATTTCTTGGCCACTTTCAAACTTTCATTTGCCTTGAATTACTTGTTTTAGCTTCTGGGATCAAATTCTATGTCCCCCCCCCACTGGCTTCTCAACCTCTTCCTACCTGGCAAATAGATACATAACTTCCGATTTTCTTCTCACTATAATAGTCTCCCTCTGTTCCTTCTAGATTAAGCCCTCATTTCTGTGAAATGTCCAGATCATGCCTGGAATAGCTTGCCATGTTTGTAAGCTGCTACTGGTCATTTAAACCTTTTTAGAATGATCTTGGTGAACCTAAAGATGGAGTTTTCTCCTCTGTGCTCTCACAGTACTCTGTCCATAGTCTGTTGATGCATTACTTATGATAATTTCATTGTGATAATCCGTATGATATCTATTCATCTCCCTAATTCCAAAAAAATGAGCTTTGTCCTAAGCACAGAGGTCACATTTTACTCAATTTTGAATGGATTGTGCTATGGTAGTTATTAAACATAGGAGATACTCAATACGTATTTGCTGAGTGACTGCACTTCAAACTCATACTTTGAAATGCTTTTTGAGTACTGCCTTATGCATATTCCTCTGAAATCTAAAATTCAACATATCCAAAATTATCTTCCTCCACAAGACTACTTCTTTACTCTGACTGTTCTTTTGTGCCACTGTTACCACTGTTTTAATAATCCAGACTTGCAACAGGCAGCTCCTTTTGTTGCCCCTTACCTCTTTTTCCCCATCCAAGTAATTGCTAAATACTATAGACTCAACTCCTTCAATGTTTCTCAACTTTATCCTTCCTTTTCAATCCCACAACCAATATGCACGTTCAATTCTTCATTATCACTAGCCTGGGCTAGCATAATAGACTTCAAACCAGGTGTTCTCTCATGTAATTATTTAGTCCCCTCCTTAAAAACCTTTACTGACTCTTAATTTCTATCGAACAAAGTCCAAATCCCTTTACCTGGCATCCAGTACCCTACACTAACTGGTCCCAAAGCATACATCCCATCTTCTACCCCAGGATCCGGCCAAAATCACCGTGAGCTTTTACACTTAAGTCTTAGTTCTTTCTGGAATGGCTTCATACAACTTGGGTTTCTTGAAATCCCATTCATTCTTCCATTCCCAAATTCCCTAACCTTCTATCTAAAAGTGATCTTTCCCATGAAAGAATCATAACTGTATTGGCTCCACACCTAGGAAACATAACATTCTATCTTGTATTTGTGGCTATGTATACATTCATTTTGATCTCCCATGTTAGACTGTGACCTTCTTGAGAAACTGGAGCAATGTCTTAATGTATCTTTGTAACTACAACAAGTTTAGTATGGTGATTTGTTCACAGAAAGAATAGGTTGGGTTTTCATTAATAACACCATTTCCTATCTCTTTAAATATTTTTCTCTCACTGGTTTTCCCTAAATTTCACTAAATTTCCAATTTTCAAAGCAATACATCTGTATAAAAATATGAAAATTCACCAAAAATTATTCATAATTACACAATTTAGAGATAACTATCCTTAACATTTTTATCCTCTTGTATTTTTTATGTACATGCAAAGACATATTTTGTTATGAAATTGTCACTTTATACACTGTATTTATACTCTGCTTATTTTACTGAATATGTCTTGAACATTTCCCTATGTTATAATATTTTTGTTGCTGAAGTTAGAGGACAAATTTTTCCTGGATAATAGAACTATGATAATGTTGAATTATTTAGTTTGCTTAGCATTCCTAGTCCTTTTCTTATTTAATAATTATTTCTCTTTTTACTATAGTTATGTATGCCCAAACCTGAGAAAAATCAAGTAGTCCTAGAGGGCATTTAATGAAATACACAGTCTCCCCTGCTCCCCTCACCCCCAATCTAATCATAATCTAGTTTTCTGTCCTCTTTTTGGAATTTCTATTAGTTTGATGTTAGAACTTCTGGACTGATTCTTTAAATTTATCTTTTTCCCCTCATACTGATTGTCCTTTTACTCTTTTGACTTTAAAAAACTTCATCTTTTT